CGTTCCCGCACTCACTCTCACGTGTGGACCTAACAATGGTTTGCTGGGTGTCACGCTCACTGGTCTTCCTGGAATTGGGGTTTCTTTGTCGTCCGCGTCCGGAATGCGGTGTCTCTCTCCGCTCACCTGCTCTTACGTTTTCACGGTCTCGCTTCCGTCTGTACGGCGTGTCGTCAGCTAGCACGGCTGCCGCTGCGAGGGACAGAAACCCGTGCTCGCCCGGCCTGAGCAACGACAAACGTTCGTTTCTTCGGCGTGCACCGGGCCCGCCCCCCACAGTGAGCCCCGGGAGAGCCCCGGATGGCAGAGCGGACCCGAGCCCCCGCACCCCGGGGAGCAGACGAGGGGCCCAGCCGGGGTCCCCCAGCATGGAACCCCTCACCTTCATGCGTGTCCCCTCACACTGCATGGTGGCACCCTTAGCCTGGCGTGCGCGTTTGTTCCCTGGGGCGGCTAACAAAGCGGCAACGGGAACCGGACGGCCGGTTCTGGAGGCCAGAGGTCAGCGTCGAGGTGTGGGCAGATCTGCTTCCCTCCGGGGCAGTGAAGGAGAAGCCATGTCCTCCGCTGTCCTCCTGGGCTGGTTCCCCGGCTCGGAGACATATCGCCGCGGTCTCTGCCTTCCTGTTCACGTGGCGTGTTCCCGTGTGAGTATCTGTGTCCGAAGTCCCTCCTTATGAGGACACGGTCACATTGGATCGGGGCCCACCTGCTCCACGTGGTCTCACGCTAACCAACTACATCTGCAAAGACCCTGTCTCCAAATTGGCCACATTCTGAGGTGCCTGGGGTGTGGGGGTGAGGACCACAACCTCGGAGTTGGGGGGAGCTCGATCCAGCCTTCCTCCTGTTTCCTCGGCCAGAATTGTGTCTGGTCTACACTCCCCTGCACCAGCCACCAGCGAGGGGACGCAGTTATGATTGCAGGGGGCTAACCAGGACCCCCCGCCCACCTGCCGCCGCCCGGAACAGGCAGGACAGCAGCCTGCTCTGAAGCCAGGCTTCCGAAAACCAGAACCAAATCAGTTCCCACGTGATCAGAGCGTTTGTACGAGCAGAGTGAGCTCCTGTTTCTCTTGTGTTTCCTGGTTGGTTTTTGCAAATGCAGAGAAACGCTATGTTGACTGAGGATAGATGTTTTAAGTCAATCAAACGCTTGGTTTTTATAAACGGGTCCGTTATATCTGGCAGCACCGTATCTTGGTTTTGTCTTTAGTGGTATTGCCAAACTCTCTTATCAATTTAAGTGACTCCTTAATGCAGGTGGGGTCTCGATCACATCACCAGCAAGTTATGGGTGCTGGCTCTCACTTCCAATCCTCGTGTGTCTTTTTCTTATCTTACGGCACTGGCCAGGGCCTGTTGACCAGTGCGTGAAAAAGTCGCAGTGAGAATAGCCAGCATTCCTGGTTTGTTCCCGACCCCAGTGGCCGCGTGTCCAAAGCCCTCGGCACCTGTCGACGTATCACAAAACGACATTTCTCCTTTAGTCTACTGAGGCCCTGGACGCCACGGACAGGGCTCGCGATGGTCACTCAGCCTTCCATTCCTGCAGTGCTACTACTTGATCATGCTGGAATATTTTTAAATCACTGCTACATCAAAACGGCGTTTACTCGGCCGTTTTCACACCCGCCCTCGTGAGAGCTGGTCGACTGGGCCCCTAGTGCTGTGCTGCTCCGGGTCTGGTTCGAGGGTTCACTCATAGGCACCCCCCTTTTCATTGTCCTTTCCAACTGGTCCACGTTTTGAAACTTCCTGTGTAAGAAATTCTCGTGGAGGAGGGAGCGTCTATTCCACGGTAGTTCATTAGAACTCACTTTTCAAAGACCCGGGCATTGCGGGGTGGGCCGGTCACCGTTTAATTTCTTTAATGGCTGTTAGTCTGGTCAAGTTTTCGATCTCCTTCGGCGGCCGCTCCGTCTGGCTTCTCACGCTGTTGGCATGTGCTTTGCTCCTGCTGGTCTCCGATCATTTTAAATGGTCGCCGCATCCATACTTAGTTCTCCTTGTAACTTCCATGCAGTCGTCCGCGCGGCCTCTCTTTTCGCCCCTGGTCGGTCTTGCCAGGGGCTCGTCTGTCACTTTTTTAAGCGTCGTCTCCAGGCTCTGCTGCCCTCCCTGTGTGTTTTTGCCGGTGTTATCCGTCCTACCCTAACCGATCGCGACGGCTTCGTTTTATTTGCCATTGTCCTTCCGTAGCTCCTCGAGGTGAATGTTTAACTTCATCTTTCTAAACTTTCCAGTGTTTTGCTCAATATACTTAAAGATTTTCATTTCTCAGTCTGGACAGCTTTAGACAGGATTCCACAAAGGTCGTACACTTTGCTTTTTGTCACTAGTTCTAAGCAGTTTTCTTTCCTGTTTGACCTGAGATGAAGCAACATCTACCAGTTATCTGCCAGCCGTGAGTGCTCTAGGACCCCTCGCTTTCCCTGGGCGGGTGGCCGCACGCAGGAAAGCCCAGCCCCCCGCGGAGCGAAGTCCGGCCTGCGTCTGGGGTCTGAACCGCGGGTCACAAGCAGAAAGACGCGTGCGGACCCTAGAAAGAAATGCAATGAAGCGATAATTCCATCGCAGACAGGAAGACAAACTTGGGAGAAGTCCCGCAGGAACCCCACTACGAGGCATCGTGTGGGGAAACAGGGTTGACAGCAGTGAGCCATCCTGATGTCCGTGGACAGTGCTCCGCAGCCCCAGAGGCTGGGCACGCGGGAGGCCGGCCACGCGCCGACGGTGGCCTCTGCGGAGTGAACCAGGACAACGGAGCAGGGCAAACCGCTGAAGGTTAAAGGAGGCCGCCAGACATAACACGTTGACGCCTCAGCTACCGGGCAAAAGGGAAAGCTGACACTGTGTCGCCAGCGCAGACACATGTCCTAACTAAGTCACTGGGCTTCGAGGTCAAGAAAATCTGGGGACAGCCAGGAAAAGACAGCATGTCTTCTCTTAACAAAAGAAGTCACGTTTTCCTCAGACTTTCCCTAGAAACTCTCGAAGCAGACCGACCCGGGCACAGCCCAGAGTGGGGAGGGAGCGCGCCGGGAACTTCATGCCCAGCCCGTGGCTGTCCAGGCACAGAGGCACCGGGCATTCTTGAACGAGTCAGGAGAAACCAGGAAGATGGTTTGATTGGCCGCTCTTGAAGGACTCGCTAGACAAACAGTTTCAGCCAATTCAGAGAGGACTGGAAAAGCCGTTTCAGGAAATAGGCTGGGGATGAACATGGAGCCCCTGGAACCAAAGGACAAAGGCGCAGCACACGTGGGGACGAGGACAGCAGAATGAAACTTGAAGACTCAGTGGACAGGTTGATCAGTGGGTGAGACACAACCGAAGGGGGATTTGCGAGCTGGAAGAAGGGTCTGGGGAATTACTCCGCCCGGCGGGAGTGCGAGGCTGGCCTGGGGAGGCCTAGGAGGTGCCACGCGCAGGCGCAGGCGCAGGCGCAGGTGCGGGAGGGGAAGGGCGCGAGCGGAGCTGGGCCGGCTGCTTCCGGAGCACCGGAGGCACCTGCAGGCGGAGTCGCGCGCGGCCCACCGCCACCACCACCTCCAGCGACAGGTCCCCACCAAACACGCCCGCGGGGAAGCCCCCACCTCAGGGTCCCTCATGGCTCAGCGCCTCCAAGCGGCACTGCGAACCCTCACTCGCAATCTGCGTGTCCAAAAGCTATTAAAGTGCGATTTAAAATGTCACGATAGTCTACGGCCACGCCGCCTTCCTGAACGAGCCCGATCCCGTCTGATCTCGGAAGCTAAGCGGGGTCGGGCCTGGTTAGTACTTGGATGGGAGACCACCTAGGAAGACCGGGTGCTGCAGGCGTAAAAAATAACAAATAAGGGATTGTACGCTGACAAGGTCCTTGCAATCTGTGAGGTCAACCAAGGGTTGCCTCACCTAAAAAATAAAATAATAAAATAAAAATAGAAATGTCCCGATACCCGCAGCAGGAAAGGGGAAGGGCGAAACAAACCCAAGCATCTCAGAGGGGACAGAGACTGTGCAAGGAGGGCGGCAAAACGTCCCAAACCTGTCGAGAGAAAAGGTCAGGGACGACAAAGCCCCGGGGGTTAACCTGAGGGCGACGTGAAAGCGTCAGCAGCCACCTTGGAGGGAAGAGATGGTGGAGGTGGCAGGGGAGACACGAGGACCTGGGACTGGACCGCGGGTGAGCGGGGAGCTCCGGGCACAAGAAGGGAGCGTGGAGAGCATGGAACATTCCGGAAGCGGGCAGAATGTGGGCGGTGGGCCTGTGGCCTGTCTGCAGACGTGGGACACCGGGCTGAGAGGACCTCGCACACAGAGGGGGCGGGAAGGTGCCCCCCATGGCGGAGGCTGGCAGGGATGAGTCCAGGTGCCGACAGGGGGAGCGGGGGCGGGGAGGTCCTATAAGCAGCACTGGGCTGGGGGAAGGGCTGTAACTTGGGGCAGTCATCCACAACAGAGGCCAGGGGAGATGAAGGGACAGAGAGCACCCCAGGTTGAGCCCACAGTGGGCAGCAGTGAGGCTGGGCTGAGCTGTGCAGCACAAGGTAGCCCCCACCGCCCACCCCCGCCAAGCTCGGGCCCCCTGGGGCCGTTCTGCTGGTGCCCGAGACCAGGAGAGGAGGCGGAGCCCTGCAGCCCGGAGGCTGCATGAGCCACAGGTGCACCCGCCCCCACACCTGCAGACAGCCAGATGTGGGTATCGGCTGGGCACGAGGCATGGCACAGGGTCTTCATGGCCACAGGGCAGCGCTGACCCCCCAACCCGCCCTCCACAGAGACCTGGGCACCTCCCTGGGCCGCCTGCGGGTGCTGTGGCTGGCTCGCTGTGGCCTGGTGGACCTGGACGGCATTGGCTCCCTTCCGGCCCTGGAGGTGGGTCTGTGGCCCTGGGCGGGGGGAGGGCACCGGGCAGGCCCCGGCTGAGGCCCCCTGTGCCACAGGAGCTCTACGTCTCCTACAACTCCATCTCGGACCTCAGCCCGCTGTGCCTGCTGGAGCAGCTGGAGGTGCTGGACCTGGAGGGCAACAGCGTGGAGGACCTGGGGCAGGTGCGCTACCTGCAGCTGTGCCCGAGGCTGGCCACGCTCACCCTGGAGGGCAACCTCGTGTGCCTGCGGCCGAGCCCCGGCCCCCGCAACGAGGTGCGTGTGGAGGCGCCCAGGGGCCACCCACACCCTGCGGCTTGTTCACCAGGAGCTTAGTGAGCTTATGCTCGTCCCACAGGGCCACGTGCATGCCTTGTAGAACCACACGCACCCCGTCCCCCCAGGCCTGTGCGCCCCACCTGCCCGCTAGGCGCCCACTGGCCAACCAGGCCCAAGCGCTGAGCTCAGGGCAGCTCCACAGGCCAGAGGACGCCATGCACCCTGGCCATGAAGCTGGACAGTGAGATCTCGTGCGTGAGAGCCCGGAGTCCCCAAAGTCCCTGGTGCCCGAGAGAGACCCCGGCAGCCTGCAGGATGGGGCAGCCTCACCAGCCCCAGCTCCCCTGCCCCACCCCACAGGGGTCTGGGACAAGTGGCCCCAGGATACAGCTGGCCTGACGGGCCACCGGCCGCTCCCTCCCCCTGCAGGCGCCCCAGCACTACAACTACCGGGCAGAGGTGAGGAAGCTCATCCCACACCTGCAGGTCCTGGACGAGGTGCCAGCCACTCACACGGGCCTGCCGGCCTCCCGGAAGCTGGACCAGGACTGGCTCATGGTGAAGGAGGCCATCAAGGAGGGCAGGGTCCTGGGCGGCCTGCTCCCTGGGCTGGGTAAGGCCCAATCACCCAGCCTGCAGCTCCCACCCATGAGCCCTAGAAGAGGTCTCCAGCCCAGGCCCCGCAAGGGGAGAGCTCTCAACCCCCAGGCCTCTGCCCCATGCCTCCCAGAGATGGACGGCCACGTATACGTCACCTCCCAGCCTTGACCCCTTGTCCCCAGAGCTTGCAATCCTGCCCCGAGGCCAGGATGCTTCCCCGTGAGCAGCGCCTGGATGGGGCCGCCCCACCCACCTGCAGAGGAAGAGGGGGCCAAAACCTGCCCCCCACGGCACCAGGCTTCGGGGCACACATGTCAGGTGGTGCGGTCCCTGGTCTGTGGACAGAGTCTTGGGGGGTCTCTTGGGCTGGCCAGCTGGTATGGCCCTTGGTGACCCGATTTTGACCCTTGGGCAGATCATCCCCACGGATACCCCATTCGGAGACTCGGCCTCGAGCTATCCCTGCCTGAGACCCAGCCCCGGGCTCCCAGGCCCTGGCCCCTCTCCCTGCTGGTCCCTGGGGGCCCCCTGCCCGAAGGCCTGCTTCCCACGGACCCGGCCCCAGAGGACGTCGCCAGCACCCTCACCCACGGTAACTGACCCGCCGCGACACGAAGCTCCGCCTCCAGCCCCTCAACCCCAAACCCGGCCCAGCCACACCTTCTTCTGCAGGTGCTGGCCCAGTCCTGTGTGGAAACCCCACCAAAGGCCTGCGGGAGCGTCAGCACCAGTGCCCGGTATGCCCTACCCCTGCCCTGCAGGCTGCGGCTTCAGCCCCGCCCCACAGTGGGCCGGGGCTGGGGCTTCGGTCCCCGCGTGGCCTGGCATCCTGGCCTGACAGGACCCGCGTCGCGGCCACCCCAGGGCCAGCCCCCAGCTCTCCCACAGGCTCCGCAGATGAAGTCTTCCGCCCCCAGGCGACTTCCCACCTAGCCCCATCGAGGGCCGTGTCCCCAAACCCGCCCTTGCCCTCCGCAGGCGCCCCCAGAGCGGCTGCTCCGATGCAGGCCGGAAGACCTGGCCCCCAGCACCCCCACCCCGGGGCCTGACCCTGCAGACAGCTGTGACCTCTCTGCACTGGCAGGACTTCCAGCCTGGAGGGAGCTGGGCCTGCGGTGAGTGCCCTTCCTGGGTGGAGCCCCACCCCCCACCATGTGCGTCCTGTCTGGTGGGGGTCACAGCTCAGGCTGCCTTGGGGAGCTGGTCACTGGTCCCCAGGATGGCTGGAGGAGCTGGTCATGGGAGCCTGAGGCTGGGGTGTCATCCCAGAGTCACACACATTTGGAATTGGCTCTGAGGGGGACCAGGGCTGCAGCCTCTCCCCTCCCCAACTCCAACCCCCGCCCCCCTAGGCACCTGGAGTCCCAGCAGGAAGGAGCCGAAGCCCCCTGGAGGAGGCCACGGAGGGGACCTGAGGAGCAGGAGGACGAGACTGGGCCTCACACCCCACCCAGTCCCCTAAGCCTGGCCCCAGGTACTGAGAGACCCACTGTGTCAGGGGTGGGATGGGCGGCCCTCACCTCAGACCAGCTCCCCCTTCTCCCGATTCTGAGGGCCTGTGACAGGGAGGTCCCCTCCCGAGGGTGAGGGCTCGCAACTGAAGGGACCAGTCCCTAGTGCCCCTGAGCCTATGAAGCCATGAGGCCACCAGGGCTGGACACAAGACAAAGGGTGGGGGGTGCACTGAGGAGCCGGGAGCAAGGAGCAGGACAGGCCCAGGGGCCGTTCTCAGGGGGCAGGGCAAGGTGCTGGCGGAGGGGGCCCCCCGGCAGGCCAGAGGCTGAGGGAGAGATGAGCGCCAGGCTTCACCCTGCAGGAGGGGCCTGCACGGAACTCAGGCCGCAGAATGAAGCCAGGCGAGGCCTCCCCAAAGGACACTAGCTGCAGAGTGACAGCCTTGAGGGGGCAAACCCAGCAGGGTCCAGAGGTTTCCAGGAGGAAGAGTCTGACCTTCCTGGTGGGACAGTGGGCG